GCACAGATACCGTATGTCAGATAATAGGGGTAGTTTAGCGCGTAGTATAATGACAGGAGAGCAGAGTTTGGAACATAATATCTGATTTTAGAAAGGCCTTGCAAAGTGATGACGTGGGGAAGGTGGAACTACTGACCCTCCCCAGCATGCAACCCCCACAACGGTTGACTAACTCCCGGGTAACTCTTTACTACTAGGTGAACAGGGGCATTAGGTCATAGGAAACATGCCCAACCATCGTCGAAGTGGTCGTAAACAATTATGTATCGCATTCTACCCAATTTGGCCAAATTAAAGAATAAATTTATAATTATATTTTATGTTTGTACTTGATATTAACGGTATAATTATGGTATAAAGTTAGAAGGATGCAGCAGAGAGAGTATATAAGAACCATCGCCCCCGCGCGCCCAGCTGAGGCCCCACACAACAACATTACACCACCACTCGAGCCATCACTGGGGAGTGTTTGGGCAGGAGGCAGTGTTTGTAGCCTCGGTTGTGAGGCTCTCACCTGAGGAGCGGCCTTGACACAAGACAAGATGGGGGTGCCCAAGTTCTACAGGTGGACGAGCGAGCGGTACCCGTGCCTGAGCGAGGTGGTGAAGGAGTACCAGGTCAGTCCCGCATACCACAGGGGAGTAGGAGGGTACCTGGCCAACCACTTCTCGTTATAGCACGTCGCATTTTGACGTATACATGACATATAGCCAAAAACTGATTTACAGGGAAATGGTAACGGCTCGTGAAATTGACATAACGTCCCGTTTTCTGTCCGTGGATCCTCTGGTAGGTTAGGGCACTTTAGTACAACTGTTTTTGTACTTTAGGAATGCTGGCGAGAAGGGGCTGATCTGAGATAGTCATATTATACACACACATTTAGACTAAGACCGTTTTCTAATTGTTAAAACACTATACATAATTTGGCTAAGCTGTGTTAGGTAAGGCTTGGTTGTTACATTAGGTTGTGTTAGGTTAGTTTCACTTGTTAGGTAGAGGTTAACCATTCTTGTGTTAATATATTTTTCTTAAGTGATAGTCCTATGATATAAATGGGGAAAATGATAAATATATTCTCCATGCTGCAGCGTTTGTCTGGTACTTTAATAAAAATTTAATTTTTAAGTCTTTATTAGTTCCTCTTGGTACAAATATGGTATAAAGCAAGAATTTGGCAATGCAGTGTTTAGTGACCCAGGATACACATTTCTACCAACTATTCCAAAACTAGTGTGTTGAATACACGGAGTCAAAATTTGATTAAGTGAAACGTGCATTTTTTGAGCATTTTAATGTAGAATGTCCAATTTTGATGATTTGAAACCTCCCGGTTGAGATATGCTGAACATACATTATCTGTATGCTGGAATTGTGTTCATTAACTTACAATGTACTGGATCAAAAAATTAACACCGACAGTTTGAACTTTTGCTGTATTGTATTATATATGCCACAGTCTATGCACTCATTTGAAAAAAATTATTACTTTTGCCACAGTTTACTGGTTAAGGGAAACTACTCTTGAGGCATTCCTACTGTATCCATAAGGGTCAAATAACCCTATATGGTGGAAACAGACAGCTTTTGGAAGAAAAAGTTCCTGGTATAATGAATAGTACTGAACTTTACACCATAATGGCGAGGTTTTACAACTTGAAAGATGTGTTGCTAGTTACTGTACAATATTACTGATGACACAATATTGAGACAAATACTTTTTATTTTCTCAGATACCTGAATTTGACAACCTGTATTTGGATATGAATGGAATAATACATGTTTGCTCGCATCCCAATGACAATGATCCTCATTTTCGTATAACAGAAGAAAAAATATTTAAGGATATTTTTCATTATATTGAGGTAAGTTAATAACTGTTTATAGTTTATGAAGTGGCTTTGATTCAGTTAAGTAACCATTGAGCATTACATATTTTGTGATATTGTACTGTATGTTATTAGTATGCTTATGAAACCAATTAATATTTGTTAAAAAAATTACTACATAGTCTCCTGGCTTGGCATCTTCTTTTGATAATTACTTGTGCAAAAATTTTTTTAATTTGAAAGTGTCTATTAAACTTTTCAGTTTTCTGTAGTGTTTTAGGTACAATAAACTTTCAGATTTTAGAGGTTATGGTGTCTTTAGATTTAATAAATTCAGCATTAAATTGAATATTATTTATGGAAATGTCATTGGAAGAATAAATACAATTTTGAAAATTTTAGTTTTAAAGGTAAATGTGAATTTAGTTGGATTAAATATATATATATATTTTATAAATTATGCATGATATTAAAGCTAATATACAGTACTACCTGTGCAATTTCAAATTTATCACAAACAAATATCCTTGAAAGTATTAGAAAATTTTGCTCCATTTTCTCTTCCCAGGTTCTCTTCCGATTAATCCAGCCAAGAGAAGTATTTTTCATGGCGGTTGATGGAGTGGCACCCAGAGCAAAGATGAACCAGCAGCGTGGTCGCAGGTAATAAATTCATTTAAACTTCATTATTTAATAACATGGTCATTTTATGTTTTGGTAAAAATTTGATATGTTCACATTAAATGATGAATTCACACTTCAATATTATCTGTGGGGTGCAGTACTATATCAAGATGGTTAACAATATTATACATGCCAATAATGTCTCTCATTGGGGTTCTTAGTTTTCACCTGTTTAAAATTATTATTGTATCTTATTCAAAGTAATACCCTGGGTGGGTATTGTTTTTGTGGATGGGGATTGGTTTTGGTGTGTGGGGGGGAAGGGGAGGGGGGTTTGATTCATATATATTTTCACTTTCCATCCTTCAAATTCTTAAGATTGTTAATCTTATGGTAAATTCAGTTGGCCAATGAGTAAAGAGTTGTGGAATTAATATGGAAACATTTAGCTACTGTACTTAATTTCCTTTCAGAAGTTAAGAACAGACAATCTTTTGTAAGATACTGTATTGCAATGTTCAGTATTCTGCTTATTGATGTTATAAATATTTTAGAAGTAATAATTGAAACATTAATTTGTAAAGATGTATTGTACTGGCATCATATAATTTAATTTTTCGTATATAAATAAGTATTGTAATGTGACTTGTCCTCCAACAGATTCCGCTCTGCCAATGAGGCAATAGAAGCAGAAAAGAAGGCCAAAGAACGTGGGGAGGTGCTTCCGACAGAAGAGCGTTTTGACTCTAATTGTATTACACCAGGCACCGAGTTTATGGCACGGTTGGATGCTCAACTGCAGTATTTTGTTAGTAGCAAGATATCACAAGACCGATTGTGGCAAAATTGCAAAGTCATCTACTCAGGGCATCAGGTGTGCACCCATTTTGAGCATATAGTATTACATTTTATAATGATGTACAGCACTGTACTGACAATTCAAGAATTGTACATTCTGTAATTGCATATATTATATTAAATGTCTGTGTAAAAGCCAATTTTATCACTAGTACTGTACATGCTTTTATTCTCCTACATTGGTTCCGAAAACAACTTGACTAGTTAAACACGAAACGTTTACCTTTCATTGCAGACACTTGTACACACGCAGACTTTTGCACTCCACATGTCTGCATAACATTTCCATTTTTTGTTCTATATATTCTAACACCATACGTACAGTACTTCACATTATCCATCTCTATTCCTCTTAAATTTTATATACACATAAAATGTAAAACAAAATACTGTTGATTAAAATAAATTAATATATCTTCAGACACCAGGTGAAGGTGAACACAAGATAATGGAATTCATCAGATTTACCAAAAGTCAACCTGAGTACAATCCCAACACTAGGCATTGCCTCTATGGCCTTGATGCTGATCTCATAATGCTGGGACTTACTTCACATGAGCCACACTTCTCACTACTCAGAGAAGAGGTAAGTAGTTGCCTCATTTAAGAGAATTTACTGGAGTGGAAGGTGGAGACGACTGCCTACCCTAGAGTACAATTGGGAATTACGTAAAACTTGGATTATGGATACAAGCTAGGGGGTTGTGGATACAAGCTAGGGGATTATGGATACAAGCTAGTGCCTCCCAAATATAATGGGTGTGTCAATAATGGGCATGTCTGAAGCAGCTAGATGTACGAGTTCCGTACCATCTTATTGCTCCAAAATGTTCTCATTGATATACAGTATCTGTTAGCCTTATTGAGGGACCCAGTCCATACAAAATTATTTTCCTTTATAGTTTGATAAACTGAATATTACAAAAGAATTTTATTTATCAAGAAAACTATAATTTCTGGGCTTGCGTTCGGTAGCTTGCCAGTGTAAAGTATGTACCACAGATGTACAGGCCTCTGAAATTATACTGGGCTACTGTAGTTCAAAACTGGAATCTGATGCTTAGAGGCATTGAATGGTGGTGGTGATAGAAAAATGCCATACGAGTTACATAGCATATTATTACGGAACTAGTTTTAAAATGCGCGCCATTTAGATTGTGAACAATTTGATACCAAAATGAACAACGTAGCTCGGAAATTTAGGTCAGAACACTGGAAAGAGTATATGTCCCAGGAATTGCGGGGCTAGGTACGAATTGCCGAACCCACTTTGGGATGGGTTCGGGCACGCACGCTGAAATGCAAAAGTGTTAAGAGGGGCACTTTCTTGAGGTTATCTTGAGATGATTTCGGGGCTTTAGTGTCCCCGCGGCCCGGTCCTCGACCAGGCCTCCACCCCCAGGAAGCAGCCCGTGACAGCTGACTAACTCCCAGGTACCTATTTACTGCTAGGTAACAGGGGCATTCAGGGTGAAAGAAACTTTGCCCATTTGTTTCTGCCTCGTGCGGGAATCGAACCCGCGCCACAGAATTATGAGTCCTGCGCGCTATCCACCAGGCTACGAGGCCCCCTTTGATGGATGTTCTTGTTACAAACTCCTCATCCATAACCGGGTTCTTTTAAAAACTGATCCTTCTCAAGTCCAGAGATCCATAACCTCGATGGAAATGCAATGAAGTGTTTAAGGTAAGAGAAATAAAATGGCAGATTAAAAATACCCCTTATTAACTACAAATAACACTAAATATTGTACATTCCTCCTGAAGAGGTCTTCCAGTGTTTTGCTGGCACGCTCAAACAGTGAAGTCTTCCAGTGTTACACTAGTAACCATGCTAGCACACTCCAGTAGACACTGCCAATGGTCTCAGCCTTCTGCTACCAGTCACCAGTACCTCATCACCTCCCAGAACAGCAGACTAGAAGATGGGGAAACATTATTAATGGGAGGGTAAACTGTGTTTTAACTCTGAACCTGAATCACAGATGGCACTGAGGTTTGTCACAATCTTAAATGTTAGATTGTGTAACTGGCCATTGTGATGTCAGTGTTACTGATAATATATATTAAATGTCTGTGTAAAAGCCAATTTTATCACTAGTACTGTACATGCTTTTATTCTCCTACATTGGTTCCGAAAACAACTTGACTAGTTGAACACGAAACATTTACCTTTCATTGCAGACACTTGTACACACGCAGACTTTTGCACTCCACATGTCTGCATAACATTTCCATTTTTTGTTCTATATATTCTAACACCATACGTACAGTACTTCACATTATCCATCTCTATTCCTCTTAAATTTTATATACACATAAAATGTAAAACAAAATACTGTTGATTAAAATAAATTAATATATCTTCAGACACCAGGTGAAGGTGAACACAAGATAATGGAATTCATCAGATTTACCAAAAGTCAACCTGAGTACAATCCCAACACTAGGCATTGCCTCTATGGCCTTGATGCTGATCTCATAATGCTGGGACTTACTTCACATGAGCCACACTTCTCACTACTCAGAGAAGAGGTAAGTAGTTGCCTCATTTAAGAGAATTTACTGGAGTGGAAGGTGGAGACGACTGCCTACCCTAGAGTACAATTGGGAATTACGTAAAACTTGGATTATGGATACAAGCTAGGGGGTTGTGGATACAAGCTAGGGGATTATGGATACAAGCTAGTGCCTCCCAAATATAATGGGTGTGTCAATAATGGGCATGTCTGAAGCAGCTAGATGTACGAGTTCCGTACCATCTTATTGCTCCAAAATGTTCTCATTGATATACAGTATCTGTTAGCCTTATTGAGGGACCCAGTCCATACAAAATTATTTTCCTTTATAGTTTGATAAATAAATATTCTTTTGTAATATTCAGTTTATCAAGAAAACTATAATTTCTGGGCTTGCGTTCGGTAGCTTGCCAGTGTAAAGTATGTACCACAGATGTACAGGCCTCTGAAATTATACTGGGCTACTGTAGTTCAAAACTGGAATCTGATGCTTAGAGGCATTGAATGGTGGTGGTGATAGAAAAATGCCATACGAGTTACATAGCATATTATTACGGAACTAGTTTTAAAATGCGCGCCATTTAGATTGTGAACAATTTGATACCAAAATGAACAACGTAGCTCGGAAATTTAGGTCAGAACACTGGAAAGAGTATATGTCCCAGGAATTGCGGGGCTAGGTACGAATTGCCGAACCCACTTTGGGATGGGTTCGGGCACGCACGCTGAAATGCAAAAGTGTTAAGAGGGGCACTTTCTTGAGGTTATCTTGAGATGATTTCGGGGCTTTAGTGTCCCCGCGGCCCGGTCCTCGACCAGGCCTCCACCCCCAGATATTTACTGCTAGGTAACAGGGGCATTCAGGGTGAAAGAAACTTTGCCCATTTGTTTCTGCCTCGTGCGGGAATCGAACCCGCGCCACAGAATTATGAGTCCTGCGCGCTATCCACCAGGCTACGAGGCCCCCTTTGATGGATGTTCTTGTTACAAACTCCTCATCCATAACCGGGTTCTTTTAAAAACTGATCCTTCTCAAGTCCAGAGATCCATAACCTCGATGGAAATGCAATGAAGTGTTTAAGGTAAGAGAAATAAAATGGCAGATTAAAAATACCCCTTATTAACTACAAATAACACTAAATACTGTACATTCCTCCTGAAGAGGTCTTCCAGTGTTTTGCTGGCACGCTCAAACAGTGAAGTCTTCCAGTGTTACACTAGTAACCATGCTAGCACACTCCAGTAGACACTGCCAATGGTCTCAGCCTTCTGCTACCAGTCACCAGTACCTCATCACCTCCCAGAACAGCAGACTAGAAGATGGGGAAACATTATTAATGGGAGGGTAAACTGTGTTTTAACTCTGAACCTGAATCACAGATGGCACTGAGGTTTGTCACAATCTTAAATGTTAGATTGTGTAACTGGCCATTGTGATGTCAGTGTTACTGATAATAGCCTCAGTTTTGAGATGGACTAAGCTTAAATTTTCTCAAAGGGGAGTGCTGTACATGCTGCTTTGGTGATATGACCACTCGCAGGATGAGTGGCGCTGCCCAATAATCTCACCCCCTCGGGGCAAAATTAAAAAAAAATAGTATTTTCAGGAATGACGAAAGTAGACCATTAGGATATTTGAACTGCATGACACATTTTGTTTCCTAGTCTTGTATAATGCCAAATTTAGGTATCTTTCTTTTGAGTAGCTAAAATGTTTTATATTTCTAAACAACATTTTGATATTAAAACGAGCAAAGTTTTTTTTATTAAGGATTAATTCAGTTACTGTATTTTGCCGAAACAATTTCAGGTTCGCTTCGGAGGCCGGAAGGACAGCAACCGTCGTACACCTACAGCAGAAGAGACTACATTTCATCTACTTCATCTTAGTCTGATGCGGGAATATATTAATTATGAGTTTGGAGATTTGCATAATGCTCTCTCCTTTGGTTATAACTTGGAAAATATTATTGATGATTGGGTGTTAATGGGTTTCCTTGTTGGCAATGACTTCATCCCTCATCTACCACACCTTCATATAAACAAGGATGGATTGCCCATTCTCTACAAGACATACAAAGATGTCTTGCCTACCCTGGATGGTTATTTAAATAATGGAGGCAAATTACATCTTGGTAGGTTTGAAAAATTTATGGCAAAGCTTTCAGAGTTTGATATTGAACAGTTTCATGAGCATAATGCAGATTTGAAGTACTTTCATAGTAAAAAATTGAAAGATGGAAAAGCTTTCAAAATTAATAAGAGCAATGGTTATGGTGAAATAGAACTGGAACAATTTAACTTTGATGATGCTGATAACCCTGAGGATGGTGCTGCATTTGGTGTTCTTGAGGGACTTGACCATGAGGACGATGTAGAGAAGCTGTGTAAAACTTACGAGAAGCTTGGTTATAATCCAGATCCGATGTTTGACGACGACGATGATCATGATAGTGATAGTGGAGAGAGTATATTTAATGCAGAGTTTCGTCAACATAAAAGGGAATATTACATGACCAAGATGCACTTTAGATGTGTAAATTCTGATGTATTACACGAACAAGCCACGAGCTACGTGAGAGGTATACAGTGGATCCTAAACTATTATTATAATGGTATTTGTTCTTGGTCTTGGTTTTACCCTTTCCATTATTCTCCTTATATATCTGATGTCAAAGACTTTGCAAACATGGAGATGAATTTTGAAATGGGGAAACCTTTTTTGCCATATGAGCAACTCTTGGCAGTTTTGCCACCTTTGAGCAAGAAGCTTTTATCCCGTGCATATCAAGGACTCATGATAAATGAAGACTCGCCACTCAAGGAGTTCTACCCAAGTTCGTTCAGCACTGACTTGAATGGAAAACAGCAGGTTTGTGTTTGTTTTATGTTGTACATGGTCAAATTAAATTTTAATACATTTTGATACAAGTTGCATAAATTTGGTATTCCTGGTAGGTGAATAAATTCTTACTTGGAAAAAAATACTGCAGTGCAGCCATACGATAGGATTGAACTCCATATTTTCTAATATATGTAGCATGGTCTTGTGATTTCATTATGCAAAGCCTTATTTATTCTGCCTTCCAGTGTAATCACCAGAAGGCCTCAAATTTAGAAGGCCTAAACTGTAACAAGCAAAAATTGTATATCGATGTACCTTTTAAGAAAGAGTGGCATTTACTTTCTAAAATGTTAAATTAAATTAAACTTGACTGGACTAAATTAGGATAATTGGGGTCTTATTGCTATTTATAGAAGAACGAGGCTTTAGTCTTCTGTTAACGTGAGAATTTGTTAAAGGGGGATATAGATAATTGGGGCCCCAGTGTATTTTATAAATTTTTGTGTATGGCAAGATTTGCTGCCATAGAAGACAGGGGATACTGTTCTTGGTTGAACCGTATCTAGTTAATATTGAAACTGCTTCTGTCCCTTTGACTCATTTGGCCCTCAATAATATCTCTGACGAATTTGATACATTTGATGTTGCTCCTCATGTTGCTAGTATTAACTTACCGAGTGATATTTAGGACTGTTTAGAATATCCCACGACATGATCTGTGACAAGCAAATAGTCTTCCTGGCTTCGTGCCTTCTTTTAATAATTATTTACTTCAGCTTCTAACCTTAAATATTTAAACTATTAAGTACCTTTTTATTTCCATGATTTTTTTAATATATTTCTTCATATAGTGCTGTGTTGCGTTTCAGGATTGGGAAGCTGTTGTACTTATACCTTTTATTGATGAGACGAGGCTATTGGAAGCCATGAAGCCATGTAATGAACACCTCACTGCTGAAGAAAGATCCCGCAATATTCATGGTCCAATGTTTGTTTACACTTATACCATGGACAATTTAGGAGAATTCCAGGTATGTTCAGAGAGGAGGAGTTGGTTTATAAGCGAATCTCAAGCAATATGCAACTCTGAATACATTGTTGATATAAAGACTAAAGAATAAGTCACAATTTGGGTGAAACAATCCAACCCTCACGTGAAATGAGCGATGATTGTTTTTGTCCATCCTGGACCATTTCATTTCATGTGTGAGAGTTGGGTTTCGTTGGTGGTGATAGTTATCATGCTGGTTATTTTTGTGATTGTATTTCTTGATATAATTAATAGATAACACTAAAATATTTGCTATCAATAAAATTATTCAAATTTTCAGTGTCCTAAGTACTTTCCACATGTTGGGATTAATCATGCCAAAGTACAGTTAGTGAGACGAGAAGATTGGGAAATAAGGCCTGAAAAGATATACAAAGGCTTGTGTAAAGGTGTGAAACAAGATGTTTATTTTGCCGGTTTTCCTTCGTTGCGCCATGTTGAACACAAGGTAAAGTCTACAGTACTCCTTTAATGTTCAAATACTTTGTCTAGTGTGGTTATTGCATTAGACACCTTCATGTATTATAATTTGTGTTAGGCAGCTGGAAAATGTAAATACAAATATAAAAGCCACACTGAATCTTTCACTTCACTTAATTTGACTTGTATGCTATATGTATATACATTCTTAATATTATAATGGCAATATTAAGTTGTGAACTAGTTGATGTTGGAGGCTCAGCATTAGGTTAAAAGTGTTTACTGTAGTGTTAGAAGGCTTATAATAAATTATAGAATGCTCACAGACTAGCATATTTCAATCATTTCTTGTATTTTCAAATACTGTGATGTGATATAAAGTACTCTAGGCGCTGTACTGTCATAGGCTTTTCGTTTTCATAAAATTGTCTTCGTTATCCTAACTTGAAAATGCTGTGTTAACTTGTTTAATTTAATAGGGTAGTTATTCTACTGAAATGCAAGGAATAGCTCCTAAGATCATCAAATAAATTGAACATCAGTGTGCATTTGTGTAAGATATTTATTGATCAAAATTGATAAATAAAAAAAAACTTTGCAATTACTGTATTTATTGTCTAGCTCTGATAAAACAAATAGTAAATGCATAGTTAAATAAAAACAATTTAGTACTGGTGTACAAAAATAAATTCTCTCCTCCCCTGACAGTATCATATTGCAAAGGAAGGAGTGAAAGTGTTCCAACAGAACAGCCGAGGGGACAACTTCATGCTTGATGTTATCGAACCAAAAGATATACCACACCTCCGAGATCTGGCTAATCAGTTACTAGGCAAAGTTGTGTTTGTGTCATGGCCCCACCTCATAGAGGCTAAGGTAAGAGCGCTCACTCTTGGGGTAAAGATGTGTGCGTTTTTCTTAATAGTAGTAATAAACCTCTTCAGATTTGACAACTTTATTCATAAATGTTTGTACCCCTGTAGTTAAATTAGTTCACACACAATTTCAGTACATTATTTACCCAAGTCATAATAGTAGCATAGCATGTATTCATTGTAATATATATTGTGTAAGCTACATTTAGATTTAGAAGCTACAGTTATCGGCAGTAGAAAGTCTTTACTACTATAGCTGGAGTAAACAAATGTTACTGGATAGTAGTAAATGGTTGTGAAGGTGAATTAAAGTAGAGATAATAAATGGTAAATAAATGAAACTACATACAGTGAGTGAAGAAAATGGAGGGCATGCTGGTCTACTAAAGAATGGGAAGGTTTTGGATAGGTATAAGTGTCGGCTTTAGTGAGAACCAAAGTTAGTTTTAAAATCACATTGCCATTGAAGGTAGATTTTGTGCCATTGAAGGTAGATTGTCACCATAGAGTTCAACTGAACTCCACAGTGACAGAAAACACATTATCCTAAATAATGATACCTTATGATTTTGTTCCAGAATTTTTTGTATTGAGATTTCTATAAGAATGCTTTGCTATACTGAATTGAAACAGATGTGCGTGTGTTCATAAAAATAAGCAGTGTATTGAAATTGGACAGAACGGCCTAATGATAGGGAATTTTTCTGTTCATCTGTCATATTTGCCGAATACCTCTGCCACCGCATGAATATGGTGGTAATAATAAAACTGCCAAATTAAAGTAACATGTTTGTAATTAAACACATGAATTTACAGGTTGAAGCAGTGAGTAACAGCCAAGAACGCTATTCGCTATCAAGAGGAGCAGTGCAAAGAAATGTTGTTGAAGGACGTATTCGGGAAGAGTATTCTATGTCAAAGAATAACATCGTCTCTCACTATCACGACCGCTGGGGAGTTGAAATTGGGAATACTTCAATCCTAGTTTATGCATCACCAATGACAGGAAGAAGGTAAGATCCTGTTATATGAACTGCATTTTTGTTATTTAATGTTCTGGTAAATTGCTATTCATTAAGTAAAAGGATGTTACTGTATTTCTATTTGGACACGAGTTTGCCCCTGGGGTTTCCCAGTTGTTTTCACCACTAGTGTGGTTTGTCTTCCCTGAGAGGGGTATGAATCATTTCTCCCAGTTCTATCTCTTCTTCTTTGTCATTTAATATGCTTTCATGATGCTACATAGCCACCCTGGCTTGGTGCCTTCTTTTGATAACTTACCTAATATGCTTTTATCTAACTTGGTCTGTGGGTGTGACAATATCCCATGTTTTTTTTTATCAATTTTTAATTCTTAATGTTTGGGTAATAAACAATCTTTATATATACTGCATGTATAAAACTGTTATTTTTTCAATTAACATGCATACAGTTATCATGACCTCTGCTAGTTATTAGTGTCTGTTAATAATTGCTGAGTTTCTGTGCGAACCATTTCGTCAGTTTTCTTAATCCTGTTAGCCTATGTTCCCATGTTCTGTTTTCATGTAATAGTTCCTCAGCCTTTGCTTTTATTCTTGATCATGGGCCCCATCTTCCTTTGACAGATATTCTCTAATTATGTCAACCCCAACAAGTATAAAGTAATGAAGATGGGAAAAGAGATAAGAAAGCAGAAGGAATTTAGACCATAAATGGGGAAGGTAGTTACAATAATATGACAGATGAAGACCAGGAAGGTAACAATTCCAACACTAACACTACAGGCACACACAGGCAGTATTAGGCCCAGTCTCATGATTTAGCTAATTGAGTAACCACTGTACAGGTACACAATGTTCTTGCTTTCTCTAGATACTGATTTCTCTCTTTCAGATACGTGCCAACGTCAAGTGGGAGAATGTCGCTAGAGAAGGAATGGTCTAGAATAGTTCAGCCATATGCATTCCAAGTAGTTGTGAGAAATATTGCTGCTCATGATCCTGGTTATAAACAGCATCTTACGCCTCAAGAATATTTTCTTCAACGTACTAAGGTCTTTATGCTCGGGCAGCCCCATTATGGATGCATGGGAGAGGTAAGAACTTACTTTGAAAAACATCGTTACTGAATGCTTTACAAAATTCCCTATTCACCCGAGGGCTTACTGTAATAAAACATAATTATTCTGCAGATAGCATGAGATGGGACTTCAAACAGCACTCTTAGCCTGTCTGGGATAAATTAAAGAACATAAGAATATAACGAATTGCAGAAAGTCTGTTGGCCTATGCAAGGCAGCTCATATTTATATTCTGTATGCCTAACCTACATTTGAAATAATCCTGTTCCCATGTCTATTATAGTGTAATTTATTCCATGAATCAACTACCCTATTCTCAACCTTATTCATATAAAGTACTGTATATAAATATATATATGTATGTGTGTAAATCACGAAAATTAACACGTGATTAAAAATGTGAAGTCAGACCACAGAGGAAGAATTGAAACAGGAATTCCCTTAAGTACTTTCGTATATTAATACATCTTCAAAATGAAGGATTCCTTTTGAAGATGTATTAATATACGAAAATACTTAAGGAAATTCCTGTTTCAACTCTTCCTCTGTGGTCTGTATGTATACCCCTGAATATTATTTAATACTTTGTTCTAACCCCCAATTATTATTAGTATTACTAATACTTTTTTTTAGCCTATCATTCTCATTTTCCATGCATTTGAAAATGCTTACACTATATAGGGTCATTACCTTTTCAGGTTATAGAAATTGACCCTAGTCATAAAGGTAGAATACGTGTAGCCATGACAGTGACATCAGAGCCAAATTTTGATGTTGTTAAACAAAAGCAGGATCAGCTGGAAGACAGATATATGTCAGGTGAGACTAATACGTTTATCAAAGTTGCACTCGTGGCAAATAATGTTTTGTTGGTTTATTTTAAACGGGTATATGGAGGTGAAGATTGGCCGAGTTTTGTGCTACGTTTGTGTGTGATATGGGGGTTACCTTGAGGTGTACCTTGAGACCCTCCTCAAAGGAGGGTTGAACTCTGTTAACTAGGTTTTGGAGCCAATGGGAATTGTGAATGATGAGCTATATTGGTAGCTCTGTTATTAATGATAACATTTAAAAAGGGTTTGCTCAGTTATAAATTATATTTATTTATTTTTATTGTTATTTAATTATTCATTTTTTATTTTTTTTTATTTTTATTTGTATATTTTATTTATTATTTAAAAGAAGGTACAATGGGTTTGTGAGATTACGTAATATTTTACATTCTTGCAGAGCCACTAACACGCATAGCGTTTTGGGCAGAAACGTAGGTAAGTATGCTGAGGTAGAGATCATGGGCTATTGATAGTCCAACTAATAAACCCACACTCCCATGACGGGTGCCTTTATGAATGTGTTTCTATACAGTATACAGTAACTTCGTAAAATGTTCTCAATCCAACTAGTTGAACAAAAATAATTTTCCTCTTTTATAGATTTTTTAATATACTGTACTGACATCCCATGACTGCTGGCATTTGAGATTTTCTGTTGGACTGAATTTATTTACAAACATGCTTATACTGTATATGATTTTTGTATAATGGCCTTTTAGGCATAATTGAATATAGCAATTTTGTAATACTGTACTGTTGTCTAGTTTTTTAAGCATACATTCCCCATGCTTTCAGTGACAGAGTAGAAGCATGTTCTTTAAACAAGCTCACTGATGCAGAGCCAACCGTTGTGGTAAATTGTTGCCATTTTATTCTATAAATAAAAATTATGTAAACTTTATTGTTCATTTATTTTGATTGTACAGCATGTCATTTCATATATAGTATTCATTAATACATTTATTAAATGTGTTTCATAGAAGTATATATACAATACTTCCTAGTTTGAATATCGATAACCCATGATCACTATCCAGTGTACTTAGCTAATTTAAAACATGAATGATGCATACCTTATTAGCTATGCCAAGGTATATGCAGAGTTTTATGAGTGTTCCAGTACGAATGGATTGTTGTCTTCAGTACTGTACTGGAACTATCAGTATAGCTCGTAACTTGTAAATTATGCTATAAACTTATTATATACATTACACCATAGTCCCCGTGATGTAGTGCTTAAGACACTCGCCTGGTGTTTCGCGAGCACTTTGTCCTGGGTTTGTATCCTGGCCGGGGAGGATTTACTGGTCGTCAATCCTTCTGCTTCTTCGTCAAGCCTCTGTTCACCCAATAATAAAATGGGTACCTGGTTGTTAAACGATTTGGCAGAGTCATATTCCGGTGAATGTAGGATTAAGGACTTGCCCGAACCGCTATGCGTGCTAGTGGCTGTACAAGAGCGTAACAACTCTTGTATATACTGGTATAAATAAAAAAATAAAAAATTATGAACCTGGTGTAGCTTGACCCCCCCTACAGCAACGCTGTTTGAACCTAACATGTGGCTATGTGTCACTAATGTGCAGGTGATCCTTGATGTAGTTTTACAGGCAATTAATACAATTTTTTATATTAACAGGATACACTGCTGCCCAGAAGGTTGGCATATCGTCACATCTGTTAGCTCGGCTGACAGGCACGGTGTTTCTAGTTCCACCTTCTGGATCTAACCCCATGGCTGAAATAGAAATGAAGAACAAGTTGAATATAGGGCTCAACCTCAAAAGTAACAAAAGAAATGAAGAGGTATGTCTGCAGGTTATGAATGCTGTATTTATCCCTTAAGAAGCACGAGAGGTACACAGGCTTGCTCCACCATATATTGAGATGCTTTCTTATATTGTAAATGCTTCCTGGGGATGTTTGTGTGCATGTGTTTGAGAGATATATGTAGTAGATATAATAGAAGAAAATTAAATTGATTGGAAAGGCTGGGTCCAAGAGCTAATAGCTTGATTCTGCAGACAGAAATAATAAATACATACATATATACATATACATTCATACAGATTTTACCTTTGTTACCAAATTGACTAATTTAATTAGGAAAACTAAATGCTATACTGTATAATACTATCTGCTCGCTTATCCAGAGTATATGGAAAGGACCCCCTTACCGGATAAGACAGACATGTGATTCTTTGTCTTTATTATGCACCCATACCCATCCCATGGGCAGTGGTGGAAAGGGTTACAGAGGCACATAATCGCAGCCATGCGGATAAGCAGAATTTCTATAGGGAAAGTCCAAAAATGTAATTTTTTTGTGCAACCAACATAATTTTAATTTCCACACACATACACACACTATAAATCAAAAGTTTAATTTTAAGAGAAACTTAAGCTTACCTTGTTGTAGTTTGTTTTCTTGTTTGATACTGTAGGTCTTGAAAATTAATATAATCTCCAGTTATTTTTATCTGGATATGGTAAAAGTTTGGCAGAAAATTATCGACACAATTTTGGTCAGATAACCCAAATATTCGGTGTAGGAGAATTTGGATAAGCGAGCGCATACAGTAAATGTAATTTGTGGCTAGAATGTTGTTACTTTTTATAGGTGTGTGGCTACAGTCGCAAGGCTCTTGACCCGTATGAAAAGGCAACTTGGCAGTACTCGGATAAGGTGATTGAGTGTCTCCTAGAATATCAAAAGAAATTTTCAGAAATATTTGACCACTTATCTTCACATGCAGAACAGAAGGACATATTTTATCAAGATGAAGTCTTTGGACCAGAGAACTAGTGAGTATGGATTTTTTGGCCTCCTGGTATGGTACTTTATTTATTATTGTATTATACAGTTGAGTTAAGCATAGTCCCTTATCAGCACAAAGACTAGTGACAGTATTTAATCTAAGGCTCTCCATTGTGTCATTCAATTTGATATTGAGGCTTCCCTCTTTTAGCATACATGATATTATATTTATGTAGCAATAAGTTTTATTGTCATGTCAAGTCCAATTTAATGTATTTGGAGAATGGTGAAGTTGGTGGTGGAGAGGAAATGGAAGCGTGTGTTGAAATGTGTGTGTATGGAGAAGGGCTAAAAGTTTAAATTGAACTATAATAACTCGTATGAATGATTAACTGAAAATTAATTTCTGAAGGCAATCAGTTTGTAAGAAGAAAGTGAATGTATCTGTAAATACAGTCCTGTATGCAGTACAATAATTCATAAGAATCACTGTTCACTTAAGTTATAAAGGGCAGTAATGCTGAAAGTGTTAACTGCTGGAGTCTCTACACTCGAATTATTGTATTGTGATGATACAATCGTGGAAGACCGGTATTTTTATTATTTTATTAATGTGTAACCTATTTATTGGTATACAGTACAGATCTTTCCTCTCATGACTGATCCTTCTCTGTCAAATGAAAGTGGGTATATAAGCAATGAAAATGATGTATGTACAGGATTCTTAACGGTGGTAGTTACCATCAAGCCGAGAATCAAGAATTTGTATTTTAAGAGGGTAATTTACTCCATTTACATCAGAATGATAATTATTAAGTGATTTTCTTGTATTTTTGACCTAAACATTACTTTCATTCTACCCTGTTAATAGTAAGGAGCGTGTAGCTGAACTTATGGACTGGTTAAAGAATGCAGATTTTGCCAAAGCAGAACGCCAGCCTTGTGGAACACAGTCCCTGGGAGAGGCCATTGTGTCACGCCTCGCTGAGGAAGTCGACAAAGTATCTGCAGTAAGGGCAAGAATTGTGAAAATGCAAGTGCGACCACATTTGCTTTATAAGGTACTATTACATCTTTTATATACTGTATATGTATGAGTGTGTGTGGGGTGGGGGTGAGGGAGGGGAATATATACATCTGCTTTGCAATATAGTGGTTGTATTTGTGAATTTTTTAAATGTTCCAAAAAATTTTATGGGAATTACTGTAGGAAGTAAATTGATTGTCAGTTTTTCTACAGAAGCTCTGGTAAGGGCCATGTAAAGTGGATGACCCTCTCCCCTATGTTATTTTTTCTTTGGCTGTACTCAAATTGTATTACTACTTACTGTAGTTCTATCCTCCTCTTTGTCATTCTTGCAATATATTGTTTTTCATGCTTCCCTTTTTACTATACATATTGGTATTTCCATGATCTTCTCTTCCTCTACTACTGTTGTATATGCTTTCTGAGGGTAGTCATCGTTCTTGGTGCCATAGGGCTAATGACGAAAAGTTACACACGTAAAAGAGAGCTTTATGGCCATTTACTCGGCCCACCCCAGGTCTGTAGGTGCAAAATAGTCATTAAAATGTATGTAGACCTTAAGAACTATCAGTGGGGGAATATTGTATGGTATTTATTTCTCAGTTGTTTGATGAACGCACTAAAGTATTGTTAAAGAGAACTTGGAAAAATGGTCAGTTTCTTTGTGACATGCTGAGGAACTGGAGGTGGCAAGAAGGTTTTGGTAAAAATAATTGCTTGGTGGTGTATTTGGTTGCTGTCTTTCTGATCCAAATATGCGGCAAGATGGGTACAGTGGTCTACGTTCTTGACTCATAATTGAGGATTCCAGGTTCGATCCTGGGCAGGACAGAAATGGATGGGAAAGTTTCCTTCCACCTGATGCCTGTGTGTACCTAGAATTTAATAGGTACCTAGGAGTTAGACAACTGCTGTGGGTTGCATCCTGGGGAAGGTCAGTATTGACCTTGGGGGACTTGATAAAACTAAGCACAATACATGTACAGGCTTCCTGTTCCTGTCGATGGAAATTGAGATTTTCAGATACTTATCACAGTAGGACGAGGTCATCTAGACAATAGAATCTAGAGCATGGCTATGGGCAGTGTTGTGTTGTACGGGGGGAATCTGCTCTTGGCCCCAGGAGCACACGAGGCTTAGAGAAGGGTTTCATTCCACTGTGTCAAGTTTTGTTAAGGTAGTTTATAGAATGCAACCAGGATACATAGTTTTTACAAAATAGTTTGGGTATAATTTGAAATATAGTGAGAATGAGCCCAAAAAGAACATTTCTTTAAATAGTGTTCCTGGTATAAATGACAGTAGCTGTAGACTGAAAATTATATATTGTTAGCACATAGCATAAAAATAGGGAAGGAAAGTAAATGGAAGAGTATAAACAATTAGTGGAAAATTTCCATGGTGGTACAGTCTGTTTGGATCAGGTGTTTGCATAGAGACAGCTTATAGAAAATGAGAGATGGTATGGTATACTAGGCCATTATGGGGACTTTGGGGACTTTGAGAAAGCATATGACAAAATTAGAGAAAAATTGGGAAGTGATGAGCATGTTTGGAGTTGGTTTACTTCTGTTAAACGGTCTAGAGTTTATATTGTATATATATGGGAGCTTTGCATGTGTGTTAATGGTGTAGTGAGTGAATGGGGGTGATAATGTAGGTGTATGCCTGCATAGTGTTATGTCTATTCTTATGTATATAATTCTTTTGATGTTAGAAAACTATTAAAAATAAAAAATTTGCACAAAAATAATGGTAAGAGATAAATATTAAATAAAGAATACTGTATAGTGAAATTTTAATATTTGTTTTGATGTTCAGTTAATATAAATGTATAATTTTGTTGTCCCCTGTACAGCCCAATCCGCTGCAGGGTAGCAGTCCTCCAGACCACACCGTCACGTATACAATGTTCGATCGAGTGATCAATGTACGGGAAGGATTTTCTGTCCCTCTTGGTGCCAAAGGAACTGTTATAGGTTGGTATATTTTCCTAGACATAAAGTACTAATTTATACAATTTGTATAGAATGAAACCACAAGAATGTGGTATATCAATGAGAAAATATTGAAGCCATATAATGTGATTGAACTTGCCACTATGAACGTCTTAAACATATTGTATTACCAACTGGAGCATGAAGGACTTAAAGATACCTCATCCATAAGTAATACTTCAGTTACATAGTACCTTCCAAACTTCCTGTAAGTCAAGTGGTAATTCTGGTTGAAGTACTGTGCTGTTAAGCCCATAGTGGTTCAGTTGGTAGTGCGTATGCCCAAGACGTTCAGGCATATGCGTTCAATCCCATCATACAGTTCAAATATTTTCTCATAAAATTTAGAACTATGCATGCAAGCTATATTTTATTGATATTTCTTATAACTTACATTCATTTGCTCACTTAAATAAAAAAAAAAAAAAAGTTTGAAAAAAAGGTTTATTTTATTGTATTTTACACCAAATTCCACTCCAATGAATGCATATGGCTTTGCTCCAAGGCAAGCTTATGTTATTTTTAGTAACAAAAAATGCAACTGAGGTTGCACATCGAGGCTGAGTGGACAGCGCTCAGAGGTTGTAGTTCTAAGGGCCTGGGTTAGATTCTTAACTGAGGCAGAAACAAATGGGCAGAGTTTCTTTCACCTAATGTGCCTGTTCACTGAGCAGTAAATATGTGCCTGGGAGTTAGACAGCTGCTATGGGCTGCTCTTAGGGATGTGTGTGTGCATGTGTTAGAGAAATAATCTGTATGTAGTAGACATAATAGAGTAAAAAAATAGATCAGTTAGAAAGGTGGGGTCCAAGAGTTGACAGCTCGATTCTGCAGACACAAATGGTAAATACACACAGAGTATGTATGTATACAGTAATATATATTTTCATTTATTTCCAGGAATCCAGAAAGCTGAAAAGGAGGCAGATATCCTGTATGATATTCTCTTTGATGAAGCTTTTGCCGGAGGACTAACTCTTCGAGGTCCAAAATCAGCACAGCGTTGCTACCGCTTACATTGGGCTGCCATGGTCAATATCAGCCATGGAAGCCGATTGCCAGCTGGAACAAATAACCATAGAATTGGATCTGACTCAGGTTCTCAGGTGAGAAATTTTGGCCTATTGTGCTTGCTTCAACTAGGTTTTTGTTCACTATTTACAAACATTTTGTACAGACACACATTCAAATATTATATAATCAATGGTTTTAAATACTATTGGTTATTCATTTCAATGTTAAATTCTGCAGCATCAAATGGGGTGGGGGTATCAGCCTAGAAATGTGAATATTATAGTCAGTGAACACTATAGATGTTAAATGAAAAATTATCACCTATTCATTTGCTGTATTATTCATACTAACATCACTGTAAAAAGATGTACAGTATATTTTTCACTTTTACATTTTATCAACATTTACATTGAGACTGAGAAATTATCCACAATATTTTTATTCCATTTTCTATCCATCTCCAAATAACTCTCACTTTCACTCACTCACTCACACTCTCTTGCTCTCACTCGAATGCACTCACACTTTTACTTATTTCCCAAGCTACCTAACTGTACTGTTATCCTCATTTATTTGCATCAGTCTTCTCTCACACACCAGAAAAACTTTCAAACTATCTCAAATTGACATAAATGCAACAGAAAATCAGATCTACTAGTTAGCTAAAAAATTTCTGGCCAGAAGTCTACTTGAGATAAAAGTATTTGCTACTAGTATTACCGGCCGCGTGTTGCTGTGGCTCGGCAACACATCAGCCTTCCAACCATTCCCCACTCCACCGTCCCCTCGTCCTCCCCACCATTCCCCACTCCACCATCCCCTCTTCCTTCCCACTATGCCCCACTCCCCTGTCCCTTTGTCCTCCCCACCATTCTCCATTTCCCCATCCTCTCGTCCCCACCATCCCCAAACTACCCCGTCCCCTCGTCATCCCCACTATTCCCCACTCCCTCGTTTGATGCCTTCCAAATGGTCTGATGTTCCCATCAGAAAATTGGAAACATCAAGTGATCTGATGTCCCCATCTTGGAAATATAAGAAAAAGTTAAAATGAAATGAAAATAGGAAAAAATACAAAAATAAACTATACTCACGAAATGAATGGTATGGTAAACAACACAGCTCAATTCCAACGCAATTCACACACACTAATAGTACTGTGTGTGAATTGAAATAGTAGTACTTTCTGAGATTACAGCGTGTGTTGCTCTCACGTCCAACAGATGGCGCTGTTTAAAAAAAAAAAAAAAAAAATTTCCTGTCACAGGTGAGGTGTGTATATAGTAGATATATAAAGACATGCCTATTTGAATGCAACGTTGTGTCAAAATTTCAAAGCAATCGGTGGAGAATTTTTAGAGATTAGCGGTTTGCACAAACGAACATTTCCATTTTTATTTATATAGATGGGTGGGATTGTCCTGGGCAAACGAAAATAACAATGGGAAAACCATTACATTACAAATCTGAAGTGTAACATTCTGGCCATGTTCACTGTTACTTTCACAAGACAAGGAGTTAGGGCAGTAGGGAGCCGGTCGGCCGAGCGGACAGCACGCTGGACTTGTGATCCTGTGGTCCTGGGTTCGATCCCAGGCGCCGGCGAGAAACATTGGGCAGAGTTTCTTTCACCCTATGCCCCTGTTACCTAGCAGTAAAATAGGTACCTGGGTGTTTGTCAGCTGTCACGGGCTGCTTCCTGGGGGTGGAGGCCTGGTCGAGGACCGGGCCGCGGGGACACTAAAAAGCCCCGAAATCATCTCAAGATAACCTCAAGATGTATCAGATGCTTTAGAAACAGTACTCTTATTTCTGCATTATGAAGAAGAAATAATGATTAAGGAAACAATTTAAGGATATCATAGTTTGTAAATGGATGATGTAGTATTGCAGTATCATAATTTGTGGCTGAATGTAGCAGATAACACACAGGTTTATGCATCATCATAAAGGTGATAGCAATAATTTGTTATTGTATATCCATACTCTAAAATCATACTGTATTTCCATTTTAGTATAGTTGTATGGTTATTTGAATTATTTTTCTTTGTTCATTGTTATTTAGGTTGAATATCTAATAAGTTTTATTACTATTTCTCAGGATTCTGGTCCTCGGGATAATGTATGGAATCAAGCAAACCAAGAAATGTTTAAACAAAGAAGCCAAGGTCAGCATGGTGGACCAGTGGTAAGTATATCGATGTGTAGTGAGTTATCTGGGTCTGATATCAACACAAATTTTATGGTTATCTTGAGATGATTTCAGGGCTTAGCATCCCTGCGGCCCGGTCCTTGACCATGCCTCCGTTTTGTTACACATCCCCAGGAAGCAGCCCGTAGCAGTTGTCTAACTCCCAGGTACCTATTTATTGCCTGGTGAACAGGTGCATCAGGATAAAAAAAACTTTTGCCCATTTGTTTCTGCCTCCACCGGGAATCAAACCCGGAACCTCAGGACTACGAATCTGAAGTGCTGTCCACTCGGCTGTTAGGGCCCTTGCACACATTTCTAGCTAGGTACCATAGTTTTAAATGGAATGCACTGGGAAGTGATGTGTTGGAGGCAGACTTCATATACTAGTTTCAAATATAGATATAATAAAGCCCAATAGGCTCAGGAATCTGTACACCAGTTGATTGACAGTTCAGAGGTGGGACCAAAGAGCCAAAGCTTGACCAATGCAAGCACAACTAGGTGAGCACTGTACTGAAATGCAAAAATTAAATCGATGTAGGAAGAGACTTGACCTTCAAACATACCAGCAGTAGAAACAATCACTAAACAACTACACAACAGAAAGAAGACGTAAAGAAACTTGGAGAAAGGGTTAGAAGACAAATATAAAACAGAACCTAGCCAATTCTATAAGACCATGAAAAAAGATATTGCAAGAGAGAAACGAAATCCACAAACTAAAAATGATACAGGTTTAGAAACTGAAAAAGTAATGTGTGAAACATTAAACAATTCCAAGGTGTGTTTATGCAAAACACGGTTATCAGAGAATCGGCAACAATTTATGAGGACTTGAACACAACATTGAGTATTCTAAAGGTAGAAATCTTCTCAAGGAACTAGACAAAAATAAAGCAGTCAGGTCAGATGGATTTGCATATTGTTTTAAGGGAATGTGCATCCAAGTAAAACACCCCATAACACATTATTTTCCAAACATCCTTACAAACTCAGAACCTTTCTGACATGTGGAAAAAGGCAAACATTGATCCAATCTCACAAGTGTGTTAGTAAAATCACTATAAAATAATTAAAATCAAATGGGTAGAATACCTGGAAATAAATGACATTAAAATTAGACAGCATGATTTTTGAATGGGAAGCTTCTGCATAACAAATCATCTATAATGATATCACAAAGGTTTTGCAAGAAAGGAAGGGTTGGGTTGACTTAATATACTGTATTTGGACTTAAAAAAAAAAAAATGGGCTTCTGACAGTCCCACACATGAGGCTATTTTGTATCATAGAACAATAACAGGAGGATGCATACAAGCAAGCAAGCAGAGGGAAGGGAATTTATGTATCATAGAATGTTTCATAATAAAGTATATATGAAAAGAAAACTGGACTGTTTTCTAAGAGAAGTTCTGGATCAGCCGGGCTGTGGTGGGTGTGTGGGCCTGCGGGGTGCTCCAAGCAACAGCCTGGTGGACCAAACTCACAATTAAAGCCTGGCCTCGGGCTGGGGTTGGGGAATAGTAGAACTCCCAGAACCCCATCAACCAGGTAATCAACCAACCAGGTATATCCTAAGAGATGGCACCACACATTTCTAAGAATACTTTCCTCAAACACAAATGTGACAAATCTTTTATAATTATTATTATTGAGAAAATCCACTGGGACTATAGGTGGGACCGAACCTGCGACCCAGACATTGCCAGTTGCCTATAGCACTAGTGGATTTTCTCATTGATATATATCACATTAATGTGATTTCAGTGTATTATTATTATTAATGCAGTAGTTGTATTAATTGTATTTTGTTAATACAATTGTATTAATTATTGTATTAATTGTATTAATAAAATACCTGTAATTGTATTAGCAATGTTACATAACTTTTTTATGAATATTGATATTAAATTTCCTTAACTATTTTTGATACGTATGATGAAATTGTGATTTGAACCTAAACTTTGGCATACCCTGAGAGGCTAGTATCTGCTTATATTATATTATATAATGTTCTGTTATCACTAATCAGGCTTTTTTGGTTTTGTACTTGGAGTGCATACATGACATTATATTTCTTTCACAGTAATAGAAATATGCCAACGATACAGATTGCTAGTCATATGAAGGTTGCAAACCGACAGTTACGTTTTTCATGAATCCCAGTAATTTTTATTTTTATTTAATGAAAATATGACGGTTGTAGGGTGGAATTGAACTCTTATACTTGGACCACCCCAAGCACGCACACTAATGACTGAACAGTCAAATAGCCATTGGTGCTTATGCCTGGGTGGTTGAGGTACGCAGGCTAGATCCCATTGTATAGCCTCAATATTTTCTGATAGATAAATAGATATATATTGCATTCTTGTGATTTCATTGTGTGTTATTGTTTTCTTTTAAGGCGCATGCAAATTCTTATGCATCTGCGTCCAGCACTCCGGGAACAAGAAGACAAAATAACTACACTAGTCCACAACCTCCAGACCCTAATCAGCTTCCTAGTCCAGCTGGTCTACAAATGAACTTCAACACTGCTGGCACCCATACTCATGGTGTAACAAATGGTGACATTAACTTCAAGAAAGGACACTCTCCCAGACACAATGAGGTAAGGTGACTGCATGTTTTTTGTAGTTAATCTGTAATTTTTCTTCATGCAGAATAAACACTTATATGGAGCTGTATTCCTTACTTTAATGAAAATTTATGATGGAAAAACTACCATTCCCTACTACCTATCCACCTGTACAAAGATATATACTGAATATGCTATTTGTGTGTTTGAGCAAGCAACTAAGTAATTTCAGAGTGAAGAATTTGCCTATGGTGTCCTGTTTTCCCTATAATCATTAATGTGTGATGTTTTGAAACTTCTGATGATTTTGGCATAAACTACCCTCTTTTAAAATATAAAATACAATGGTACCTCCATTTTCAAATTTAATCCGTTCCCAGAGACGAAACCGAAAATTCAAAAACCGAAGCAAACTTTCTCATAATAAATAATGTAAATTGAATTAATCCGTTCCACACCCCCAGAAATATTACCTTAAAAATATATTTTATACATAATACTACTCATATTTTATACTACAGTATGTACAAAAATATCTTGCCTTTATTGAGGACTCATTTGGCATATGGAAGACGGTGAAGAGGGGGAGGGAGGTGTTAGGGTTTGGAAATGATAACATCAGGCAGTGATGACGTTTCTGGGTTACTCTGTCTCCTACGATTTGCATGCATACCACTAGGACCTGGTTGTGTACTGTATGTATGACACAAAGACTGCATGGACGCGCGAGCCATAAATCACTAAGAACACTATTGACCCAACCAGGATTTGTACCCCCGCGGCCCAGGATCACCCCTTACCTCACAGAGTACCATAACCACTAGACCAATGAACGATCATTGGTCTAGTGGTTATGGTACTCTGTATGCCAAGGGATGATCCTGGACAGCAAGGGTTCAAATCCTGGTCAGGCCAATAGCATTTTTAGTGATAATGTGTATACATATATACTGTATATTTATATACTGTATATTTATTTACAGTATATAATACATATTTTATATAAATTTTTATAATGATATATTTTATGTTTTTATTATTGTTTTCAGGACAAGATGATCTTGCTCAAGACTGCTGAGGAAGTGGATGTTATAGTTCATGGTACTTATTATGCATCATGGAGCAAAATTAACAAGCATGGACTTGGAAAGGCGTCTGGACGTAACCTAATACCTTGCTATTCCTATGTGCCACTGGATATGAGAGGCTCGAAAGCTTTTCAGCTATATATTTTTCTTGATGTGAGAAAAGCAATGTCAGATGGAATTAAATTTTACAGAGTTGGAGAAAGACAAATTTTATGTACAGGAGACAGACAAGGGGTGATAAGCCCCAAATATTTTAATAAAGTAGTGGACAGTGAGAGTGGTGCAGTGATTTTTCCTTCTCGACCTGCATCGGGTCCTGAAGCTCTTCCTGGTAATCCTCCTGGTAGTCAGTGGCGGCAAGGGTGCGGACAAGTGTCGCCTGGACGTGGAAGAGGAAGAGGTGTATCTTCTCAAGAACCTCGGGGAATGCAACTGTATGAGAATATCTGGTCACAAGTACAACGTATAGATGCAGAGCATGTTGACTTACGACCAATGCAGAGTCAAATGCTTTCACAGATGCTCAATATATGTAGTGAGAATGAACTTGCATCCTCACATCAAACAATGGGAGCAAGTTTACCATCTCACTCTGTTTCAAGTCAGGAATCGGCCACCAGCAGAGTCGAAGTATCAGTGCAAGATATCTTCAAGGGTGCTATTGGCAAAAGTCAGATTCATGCAACTCATCCACAGGTTATACCACGTAGTGAACAGAGTGAAGTTACTTGTGTGTCATTGCCAAATGTTGATCAAGCATCATACTCCCCAACACAGTTAAGTGAAAGTAATCAGAAAGTGGGTTCACCTTTAAAATCTGCATTTGTTCCTACACAAGTAATTCGAAATCAGACCCCACGAAAACCTAGATTTGATCACCCTGATAACCATGATGGGAAGCAACAGTTAAGTACAAATTTAAGTTATTCTCAGCATCAACAAGAAGTGAATCAGCATTATCAGCAACAGCAGCAACAACCAGATTACCAAAATCACACTTACATGCAACATTCACAATATCAGCAGCACCCTCCGCAGCATAATAAACCCGAAGGAACCATCAACAAACCAAAACGTCAGGCTCGCAACAGATTAGCAGTTAAGTTTGATCAGCCTCCAGGAAAGAATTAAAAACAGCAGATAATTATTTAACAAGCGAATGTACATTTTAATGCCTATCCCGGTAAATTATATCCAAATTCACAGAAATAATGGAGCTTACACTCCTAAGTTGGTGGTGACTAGTGTGTGCTTTTCTGTAAACATGTCTCCTTTTGTGTTTGAAACTATTTTTGTCAAAATAATAATTTTAGAGTTAACCAGAAAATATTAAAGCCATGCGTTGGGATCAAACCCCGCATCCCTGAGCTCTTTAGGCACGGGCCACGTTCAGGACATGGGCTCAGCCCCATCATACAGCTTAATTATTTTCACGGTTATAAAACTTTTTTGCGATTTTATTGTGCAGAGTTAACCAGTCACTGACAAAATAAGAGTACAGTATATACAGTATATATATATATATTTTTTTTCTTTAACCACCGCACTGCACACGCGGTTTCGACAAAAACTTCATAGTGCAATTGTTAAGGACATATCTTTGTTGGTTTTATAAATGTTCAGGTAAAGTTAATCTCAAAATGTTTCCAAACTCGACAATTTTCATTTCAAAACAGTGATGAAAACATTTAAAAACATTATAAATATAGCCTAATTTAAAAAAAAAAAAACTCAAGAGTGCCTCAAGGCACTCTGCGCAACACGGTGGTTAATGAGAAGCTTCACAAAGCTTTATTCCGGTAAACCAAAAAAATAAACATACTATATTGTATATCAGAATGTAATTGATGAATTGTTGAAATGTTTATAATTAGTTGCAGGGATGAATCAAGAAACGTGTAGGTTCAGTACGCATTGCGTTTGGAATGTGCGTGTTATTGTTACATCCCGGTTCTTAGTATTAGATTAACTTGTTGTGGATCATTCAACAAATTATTAAATAGACATGAAATTTAATTAATTGAATCAGTATTTCTTTGTCTCTAGAATTACTGTATAGTATATTGCAGATAATTTATTATTAAATTATTTCGTGTTCGTGACATGAAATGCAATATTCCAGGTACTACATGGAGTGGTTTTCTCTGTACAGGTGCATCTTGTTATTTTGTTGTTAGTTTTAAATACGGGAAGCCGAAATAATTCCATGGTCAGGTTTTGGACTGCAGTTATAATGCTAACATGGTACAGTAATGTGTGGTAAGTGTTAATTCAACAAACATTTTGAATTCATTAGTCTTCATCTTTTAAGTGTTTGCATAAAATGCTGAAACTAGACTTCTGTAAAACGTAATGTTTATTATATAAACTTATCGTTTATTTTAAACCATGTTTTATAACGCCCCGTTAATAAAAAGGATCGTGGATATTATTGAATATTACAAAATCAAACCATTGATGGAGCCCAAGTCTGATGAATATGTTGTGTGCAGAATATGCGATACTGTACATGTGCATTTGAGATTAGGATCATCGTGTTTTAAAAGCAACTGCCTACTCTAAATGCAACATAGAGCAAATACTTTGGGCAGCATTTTTTATAATAAAAATTAATATTACCGAGCCCATTAAAACAACCAATTCCTGAGAGAATATTGTACCTGTATTGATTTAACAAATTTGTGTGGTTTAATAAATTAGTGCCAGAATATATAGGCAAAACGACCAAAAAATTTATCAAATCTTCATATAAATTGCGGTAAAGATGAGTTGATTTTATAATCTGGCATATAGCAGTTGTGCTTCAATGGTAATTATATTTTGTATCAAGTTCATTGCAGTAAGATTAGGTAAAGTATTTACTAAGTAACAACATTTAATGTCAATAGCAGGGTTACCTCTGATACTTTTGTTTTCAATGATAATCTATCCCTTCCAAGTTCGTATTGTTCAGACTGGCACACTTGTCCAGCCGTACAGTGTAATATTTTTGGCTACATCAAGTAATCATTATGCAACAATGAACATTCTTTTTTAAGGTCTTGATACATACACTAAGTCATGTAGATTTGTTTGCCTAGGTACTTAATCATTAAGTACTCAGCTCTGGCGTTCGACATATTACCTGTCGGATGTAAATACCATCGACTCTTATCACTTGTTTAAACCAAATTATATATTAGACAAGCAGTAGCGACCCATCAAACAAAAGATGATTGCATGGTTATTCTTGCTCTGCATTGTAGCATTTTAGTCATTGATGCTGAAAAGGTAGATGTATGCAGAATGGAATGTTAAACGGTAATTGTATTCATACTCCTGAATATTGCTTGGTTGTGAAAGTAGTTTTTTTTTGTTGCAATTGCATTTATGAGCTAGGAATTGTTGAATCATAGTTATGCTCTGTTTTAAATATTTAAATATAAATGTTGATGTAGTCATTATTTTTATATTGCTGTTCTAGGATATTTTTATCTGTTCATATTATTACACAACATAGGGTGGCAGTCCATGGCATATTTGTGTGTGATTCTGGAGTACTGTTGTGCATCTGTGACAAAAGTCTCTCATGCTGGTCACCATTAAGGGTTGTAATACACCACAGTCGAAGAGCTCGGACATTATTACTCAAAAATGAACGAGAATTGTAATTCTTTTGTTTGGAAGATGGGCCAGAATGTATTTTTGTAGTAAAATTTTACAGTTTATAGCAAATGTCAAATTTTAAAAATGTTCACATATATGCATTTTCTATAGTAATAAAGGGGATGAGCTTAGACTCGAGTTTTGCCTTTACAGACAAGATAGTCCAAGGAATTTCCATTCCAAGATGGGAAGGGAAGTATAATATACCATAATAAATACTGCTGAACCAAATTTGATTTCGTATTTAGTGATTGAACTTTGATCCTCAGGTTATGAATGTAATTATCCCATCTACATAACTTCATATTGTGTTATTGATCGGCCATTCTTTTAAAAGTTCTCATAATTGAAATGTATTAAATATGCACAAATGCATTAGTGTTTTAAAATTTTTGTATCTAATACAGTGACGAACATTTCTGCCACACCGGTTTTGCATAATAGTTTGGGTCAAGTGTAATATTGTATTGATATAAATGTGACATGTCACATAAACTACCTTTTACTACGAGTATTTGTCAAGCAAGAAATGTGTGTAAAAATATATATATATATATATATATATATATATATATATATATATATATATATATATATATATATATATATATATATATATATATATATATATATATATATATATATATAATGCACACAAACACACAGTATTACAGTAATAGCAAAAGTTTTAAATTTTGTGTACTTAAAAGCTTTTTTTAACAAATGAATCACATGAGAAAATATAAACATGTGTAAGCAGAGAATGAGTTTGTATTGTTTTAAGGCAATGTTGAATTAGTGTGTTGGAGAAATTATTGCAAGTGTTGACTAAAGTCTAGCAATAGCAGTGACAAAGTATTTTATATAGCTTTTGCAAGAATCATCATTGAGTTGACTTTTATAGACGAGTTCAAGGAAGACATTACTGTACTGTGATGATTCAGTGTGAAATGTATGCTAAATTTTTTATTTGATTTCCTTTGACCTTGTTTTGGGGGTGGTGAGCAGACGGGTAGAACTAGTGTGCTTGTGCTGCGTAGCGACCTGGCACCCAAGTTCTCCACAACACATGCTCTTGATGTGCTCTTGTAATATACTCACTACACTAGTTTGCATTTTTTTATTAAGAAAAAGATAGTTAATGACATTTTTGAACATTTATTTTTAACGTATTAAAAGGAAGAATTTCCGTCCTGTGATAAATTTGCACTTGAAACGGACACCTACTGCCATGTCACCTTAGCTTACAGTAATCATTTTCTAATACATGTATAACAGGTAGAGATAATTGAGCATATTATTTTTGCTTTATATAGTAAAGTACTTTGATAAAATAGCAATATTTCCCTGCTGTAGATTCTGCCCAAGAACTAGTGTTTTTACAACCACTTATTACCCGGTTTCCCACTTTCCTGGGCTGGGAACCAAGTTTGTAATAAAGCTTTTTCGTGTACCTATACACAGTTTTATAATGTATAGTTCATTTTTAGTTTATAGTACAACAGATCGTTTCAGTTCATTGGTATCTAGTCCTCGGATAATTTTTGTTTAATTTGGCGAGATATTACTGTATTTTTTGCATGAAATTTTTTTTTTACCGTGTGTAATAAAAGGTGATTTTAAACAATATTTTTGAGTGTTCACATGTAAGAAGTAAAATAAATTTTTATCTCTTGTGGAAGTTGATTTCAATATTTTTAATTTTGTTTTAGAGACATTTCGTTGAATAACACCACTATGGATATTAAACAGAGCTTCAATTTCCAATGACAAAATAGTCACTGCTACAATACTTATTAGCAATAAAATAAACTGAAGGCAGATATTTTAGTGACATGACAGCCATCATTAATGAAAGTATTGTAATTAATGGCTGACAGTATCATAGTGGTGATAGTAAATGACGAACACACATTATGAGGTGCAACCAAAGATTAAAAACTTCAAGCCAATACACATTTAGATGTATTTTTTTCTTTTTGCATTCAGATATTTTATATGTAAAGAATATATTATTTTCCCCTCTGCTTCCTGAGGGGAGTAAAAGATGCAGCACTGTATTTAAGTTATTCTTAGATGTTCTTGATTGGCGTGGTCCAAAATTTTCACACCATATAATTGATAAATGGTTGACTCATGATCAGTTAAATGGCATAGGTGATCTCAGTTGCCCTCATGAAAAGCAGCAACAGCAGGGGGTTACTTTTAACGGCAAGTTGTGAATTCCACAGAAAATTAAGGATCACTAATATTCTTATTAATGAGGAAATTATCAGTTATATACAAATTTTACTAATGTTACTGTTAAAAGTGAATGCTGTAGTTAAAGGACTAGACAATCATCATTGAAAGTTTAACACTGTATTGAATAAACATAAAATATTTAATAAACACTGAATTTAGTAATTAAGAGAGGGGGGATGTATAATGACCCTGTAGCCAGTTCTAAACACATTGGCTAGTTTGGCTGAAACAAAAGTATTTCACATTGACTGGTTATTGAATCAGCACAATATGCACTTTCCTTTCTCCCTTTTCAACTTTGTGTCTGCTTCTCCCAATTATGGGACAGTTGACAGAATTGTAAAAATTAAGCACTTTTGCATATACTGTATAAGATCCTTAATCAATTATCCATACACCTGCTTGATTTAGTGTGTGATAAAGTACATAAAATAAAACATGAAAGGAACAAGGATCATTCTCTGAAATCTGCCTCGGTTGCTCAATATCCTGTGTGTTGGTGATTGTAGTAATGAAATAAATAATTTAATTTGCCACAAGACAAACAAAGTGTTTAGGAAATCTCACTCTAGCTCATGTATAGACATCCTCCAAGCCTTGTATTTTTAAGATCGACAGGCTTTAAATTCGATTAAGTTTGAACAAAACTTTTAAGTTTTCAGTTTTATAATTTGTACCAAAAGAGCCAACAGTGCGTCTGGTTGACGATGGGTTTGTGGATGAGAAGCGACATTTCTTATTAGTTTACCGTCATAAAGTTTGCAACCAAATTACTTGTGTATGTGAGGAGTCTGGAATATTCAAAGTGAAAAAAAAAAAAAAAAAAAAAAAAAGTGTCCTGTATCAGGGAGCTTAATGCCTTCTTTTCACGATCACTTATTCCTGAATTAGGGAGGAAATCCAAAGTAAATGAATGTGTCACTAATGCTGACAATAATAAATACATTAATAAAAATATATATGTATATATATATATATATATATATTTATATATATATATATATATATGTCGTACCTAGTAGCCAGAACTCACTTCTCAGCCTACTATTCAAGGCCCGATTTGCCTAATAAGCCAAGTTTTCATGAATTAATATATTTTCTCAAATTTTTTTCTTATGAAATGATAAAGCTACCCATTTCATTATGTATAAGGTCAATTTTTTTTTATTGGAGTTAAAATTAACGTAGATATATGACCGAACCTAACCAACCCTACCTAACCTAACCTAACCTATCTTTATAGGTTAGGTTAGGTTAGGTAGCCGAAAATGTTAGGTTAGGTTAGGTTAGGTAGGTTAGGTAGTCGAAAAACAATTAATTCATGAAAACTTGGCTTATTAGGCAAATCGGGCCTTGAATAGTAGGCAGAGAAGTGCGTTCTGGCTATTAGGTACGACATATATATATATATATATATATGTCGTACCTAGTAGCCAGAACGCACTTCTCAGCCTAATATGCAAGGCCCGATTTGCCTAATAAGCCAAGTTTTCCTGAATTAATATATTTTTTCTAATTTTTTTCTTATGAAATGATAAAGCTACCCATTTCATTATGTATGAGGTCAATTTTTTTTATTGTAGTTAAAATTAACGTAGATATATGACCGAACCTAACCAACCCTACCTAACCTAACCTAACCTATCTTCATAGGTTAGGTTAGGTTAGGTAGAAGAAAAAGTTAGGTTAGGTTAGGTTAGGTAGGTTAGGTTGTCGAAAAACAATTAATTCATGAAAACTTGGCTTATTAGGCAAATCGGGCCTTGCATAGTAGGCTGAGAAGTGCGTTCTGGCTACTAGGTACGACATATATATATATATATATGTCGTACCTAGTAGCCAGAACGCACTTCTGAGCCTACTATGCAAGGCCCGATTTGCCTAATAAGCCAAGTTTTCCTAAATTAATATATTTTCTCTAATTTTTTTCTTATGAAATGATAAAGCTACCCATTTCATTATGTATGAAGTCAATTTTTTGTTATTGGAATTAAAATTAACGTAGATATATGACCAAACCTAACCAACCCTACCTAACCTAACCTAACCTATCTCTATAGGTTAGGTTCGGTTAGGTAGCCGAAAAAGTTAGGTTAGGTTAGGTTAGGTAGTCGAAAAACAAATATTTCATGAAAACTTGGCTTATTAGGCAAATCGGGCCTTGCATAGTAGGCTGAGAAGTGTGTTCTGGCTACTAGGTACGACATATATATATATATATTATATATATATATATATATATATATATATATATATATATATGTCGTACCTAGTAGCCAGAACTCACTTCTCAGCCTACTATGCAAGGCCCGATTTGCCTAATAAGCTAAGTTTTCATGAATTAATTGTTTTTCGACTATCTAACCTACCTAACCTAACCTAACCTAACTTTTTCGGCTACCTAACCCAACCTAACCTATAAAGATAGGTTAGGTTAGGTTAGGTCGGGTTGGTTAGGTTCGGTCATATATCTACGTTAATTTTAACTCCAATAAAAAAAAATTGACCTCATACATAATGAAATGGGTAGCTTTATCATTTCATAAGAAAAAAATTAGAGAAAATATATTAATTCAGGAAAACTTGGCTTATTAGGCAAATCGGGCCTTGAATAGTAGGCCGAGAAGTGCGTTCTGGCTACTAGGTACGACATATATATATATATATATATATATATATATATGTCGTACCTAGTAGCCAGAACGCACTTCTGAGCCTACTATGCAAGGCCCGATTTGCCTAATAAGCCAAGTTTTCCAGAATTAATATATTTTCTCTAATTTTTTTCTTATGAAATGATAAAGCTACCCATTTCATTATGTATGAGGTCAATTTTTTGTTATTGGAATTACTATTAACGTAGATATATGACCGAACCTAACCAACCCTACCTAACCTAATCTAACCTATCTCTATAGGTTAGGTTCGGTTAGGTAGCCAAAAAAGTTAGGTTAGGTTAGGTTAGGTAGGTTAGGTAGTCGAAAAACAATTATTTCATGAAAACTTGGCATATTAGGCAAATCGGGCCATGCATAGTAGGCTGAGAAGTGCGTTCTGGCTACTAGGTACGACATATATATATATATATATATATATATATATATATATATATATATATATATATATATATATATATATATATTCATTATTGAGCCTTTTTTTATATCAACACTAATTTATATTATATATATATATAATCATTTTTTTTATAAAAATCAGATAAATGTACTGACTGATAAGTACTGATAGGGAAGTACTACTTTAGTGTACTATAAATGGTGAACAATATTTACCAAGATAGTGCGTGTGGCCGCCCACAGATGGCGCCGCCGCCGACAACCGTTTCACAACAATCCGCGAATTTTATGATTCATTCTTTCCATTTAAAAGCAAGTTACTAACATTAATTTTTAAAATTAATTATTTCACATGATAAAAACGTCTTTCAATGTTGTGGATGATGAATATAGTATGTTAATAGCAATAGGTAAATTAGCATGATTAAAGACTTGCAAACGGCAATGAACGAAAATAAATAAATTTGGTTTAAAACAACTGAAAAGAAGAAGAGTACACAACAGCTGGGCTGAGATGGCGGATGATCGATAATTACAAAGTTGTGATCTTGAAAACTAGACATATTATTTTCAAATAAGCATTGACCTTCTGCCGGTAAGCCAATGCTATCCATTATTGAGCCTTTCAATCAACATTTTTTATTATTAACATATAACAAAAAAATGCCTCATTACTTAAATATATGATAATTAATGCATATAGGCTACAACAAGCCTTATCTTATTAAATTATGGAAAATTTAGATATATGTTAAATGTTTTTAATTTTTGGATTATTGTTCTTCGCTTGAAATAATTATTTATAAAACAGCTTGCGATTGTGAGACTATGATATTAATCAATATCATTAAAAAGCTATTCTTATGTATGATGCTAAACTTTCGCTCTAAAAATATATACGAAGCAATATAATTTATAGAGCAAAATAGGTATTAAATCACCCCGGAAACTGTGATATGCTAGCCAATATCTGCTTTTTCATGGCTTAAATGTAATGCAATAATTAATGGGGCGGAGATATTGAGTATAACTTAAGATATAGAGCAGCACAAGACCCAAGTTTCTCCCGGCCGAGTTAGCAACAAACCTACACTGTTACCAAGATGGCAAGAACATCTAGAAGTGATTACACTCTACAGCCCACTTCTTGAACCAATTACGCTATAACTATGGATATACGTTAAATTATGTAATTATAGCTTATCGCAACTGTAATTTGCGTCGCTAAATGAATTTTGGGGTTGAGTACGTCTACTTCAGATTCGTTCATTTATTGTGCACCCCATACCCATCCTGGTGGTGGTAGTGAACCCTATGGACTCATCCTGTGGCCGCTAGTGAACACCATACTCATCCTGGTGGTGGTAGTGGACCCTATGGACTCATCCTGTGGCCGCTAGTGAACACCATACTCATCCTGGTGGTGGTATAGTGGAAAATGCTGAGGTACATAATCAAGAACTGAACCTAAAAATAAATTTAGGTAAGCTACTTACGGTCACGACATGCTGTTTTTATAGCAGTTGCAATGTTACAATGTATACATGTCCATTACTTAACCCGGCTGCTCCGGCATTTTCTGCAGGAAGTTATCCAGTTTTTCTTGATATGTTGGGAGGATATTAGTGAGCAGCGAACCTCTGGTGCTCACAGCGTTCGATGACTGCATCTCACACACCTACTCTGCACTTGAGACAGTTAAGGCAGTAAACAGAACTACACATTCGTACTTGCCAAAGTTCAATGACTGACGGCAATTTTTCCTCTTTAATTTATGGTCTCTCAAATCCCGATATTATTAAACTAGTTGGACCGTTCAAGGCTCTCAGAGTATTTACCTTAGGGCCCGCATCTCTAGCAGCATCAGAAGGATTTTAAATTATTTATTCAATAATAATTATATAATAGTGTCACCTGAAGACACACAAAACCTGTCCTTATTTTATGGTCTCACTGCTGAGTGACGTTTGTATACTAAAATGTGGTGTGAACATACCGCAGATTTATTATATGTGGCTCTCATACTTCCGGAGTTTGCCAGTGCAGACTACTGATCACATGCCAGTATATGGCCAACCATCCTGTGTGATGGGGATTTTTAGCATCACGTATCATGTTCTTGATACACCACGTAACCCTTCATATAGTCTAGGAGTAGCTGTAGAAGTGTAGATGTACTTAATAAATGTGTTAATTAAAAAAACTACTATGTAGCGTCACAAATATATAAAAATTATTGATAATGGTTACATAATCCATTTCATGTGGATTCCATCATATGTTGGCCTCCGAATGTACGATAAAGCAAATGAGTTGGCCAAATACTGTGCCTTCAAAGGATGAGTTGACCATAGCCTTGAATTGCCTGTAAGCAACCTGAGCACCAAGAACTTCAACAAAACCTTGTAGATCTGAGGCAAAGTGAAACCTGCACTATATAGCTATTCCATCTATCATCATACACTTACTGTCATCCAGGATATGTGACATATCCAACATGGATCATCCAGTAAAATCAACTGATGCTTAATAATGCTACTACTACTCGGCTTAGACTCGGTTATTATTATATTTCTGGGAGCAAGCAATGCATATTTGAGCATGAACTTCAACGATCTTAAACGTAATCAGATGCTTCCAAAAATCCAGTGCTAGAATGCATAGACAGTATATCTATATACCACCTTGCTTTCGTCGAACATATTAAACCTATTAGATAAGCAATCAAGAATTGGTGGGTCCTGGTGTGCCCTCAGCCGTGGTGGGTCTTGGTGGGCTCCTGGTGTGCCCTCATCCGTGGTGGGTCTTGGTGGGCTCTTGGTGTGCCCTCAGCCGTGGTGGGCTCCTGGTGTGGGGGGGGGGGGGGGAGGGGGGAGCACTGGATGACTTTTTGCGTTTTAGTTTGGGCAGAGTTTTTGGTTTTTGCTACCCAGTGTTTTCTGTGTGTGGCGGGGCCGAGGCTTGTCACCCTAAAGAGCACTTGGGGCTCCTCAATCATCTGCCCGTCTGTGCGTTTATTTGCCGCAAGGCACATTAGTTTATAGGCGACATACATTCATTCCATATTCAAAATATAGGCGACATACATTCATTCCATATTCAAAATATAGGCGACATACATTCAATTCGCCATTAGGCTTCGCGATTAACCCTTGACGTGTTCGCTTCCCTCGATCGTGGTCACTCCTAAATTTTTGAGATTTTTTTTTCAACAACAAAGACATTTTTGTCACGCCCTGGATTCGAACCCGGAATTCTCGATTGTGAGTCGAGAACAGATTCGACTGTACCACCAGTACCTTATATGTTCTAGTGTGAGGAGTAGAAGGATATATATGCGAGTGTGAGGAGAGGGTGAGGGATTGGAAATGGGAGTATGTGAGCAGAGGGAGTGTATGTGTGAGGAGAGGGAGTGAGTGAGAGGAGAGAGAGGGCGTGTATATGAGGAGAGTGTGCGTGTGAGGAGAGTGTGTGTGTGTGAGGAGTGTGTGTATGTGAGGAGAGTGTGTGTATGTGCGGAGTGTGTGTGTGTGTGTGTGAGGAGAGAGAGTGTATGTGAGGAAAGTGTGTGAGGTGAGAGAGTGGGAGTATGTGAGGAGAGGGAATGTGAGAGGGGTGTGAGTGTGTGTGAGAGGGGTGGGGGTATGTGAATGGTGTGGGAGTGTGTGAGAGGGGGTGGGAGTGTGAGTGAGAGGGGTGGGAGTACGTGAATGGTGTGGGAGTGTGCGAGAGTGTGAGGAGAGGGGGTGAGGAGAGGTAGCGGGGGTGTGAGGGCGACGGGGTGTTGGCACCACTGCAGGTCTCCCCGGGGGCCGCCAGTGGCAGCAGGTACTGTGTGTGGGCCGGTCGCTGTGTCGTGTTTTACCCCATTTGTCCTTATGTGTGACGTGATGATGAGTAAGGCTAGTGTGCGGACACATACACAGTAATGTCAGAATGACGGCTGACACGTCAGCAATCACTAATGCCAGTATGGGGAGGAAAGGTGAGAAAGAAGTGATACATTCTGGCCACTTTATGGTCTCTGATTTCGAAGCTGAGGCCCAGGATGACGAGGAGAACGTCCTGCTGGAGATCCCTGGGGATATATATGCTGGGTGTAGTGACCCTTCACGGGGAAATGTGCCTCAGGAGGAAGAAGGAGTCATTACCTACGCCAAGAAGAACAGAGCTGCCAGGATTGAGACCGTCAGCATTGACAGTTCCCTCACTAAGCTCTTCAACGCCATGTCCATAGCTTACAGGTAGGACAGGTTTTACAGTATCATTTTAATACCATTATATATTATTAAACTTGTGCCATGACTGCTTGCAGAGCCGTCTAGTCAAAATAAAAAATACCTGATCAAAACTGTTCTATTCTAACTTGTCCTGGACATTAGCTCTCCAAATATAAACTAAGTCAACTCTAATTTATATCATCCAGGATAACATTGATAACATGGGCATTGTATGAACAGTGAGCTGGAATGGTTTGACTTGTCCTAAAAATCTGTAGACTACTGCTGTGGCTTAAACCTGGTCTAGATGATAGTTGACCACATAACCCCAATGCACTCGGGCATGGGGGTTGAATGAGTTCATAAAGACTCTCCCATGCTTTTGTAGTGTGGTGGTACAGCGATACAGCTCTCAGCTTTGCATTACGTGGGCGGAGGTTCGAATCACAGCAAAGGCATTTGGAACATTCAAATATATATACATATATGTACTGTATATTAAGTATATGTCGTTACATATACAGTATGTCGTTAAGTCTGATCAAAACACTATGCCCGTTAGTGGCTTTTCAAGAATGTAAGATTGCCTCGAAATACTTTGCATAATAGTGGCTTCATTCCTGTTCCTACAATTTGAATATTACTTCTTTGCTCTTTGTAAACACATTCTTTTTAATAAAATTGTATTGTATAACACCAATATTATGTACTCTTATAACCCACTACCTTTTACATAAATAAAAATAAATAAGTAAGGATGTATTAGGTTAGGCTGATTAGGTTAGGTTAAGTTGCTTGGTATTAAATCTATTGTAAACTGTGACATTATTTAAATAACACCTGTAACTACAGTACCATACTGAGAAAGTGCTGCAGCATACATTGTGATAAAATTTCTGTACTGTAAAATCGTGCACATGCATCTCAACAAATCTCGCTTTCTAATTATCTTTAACAACCTCCTCAGACATACACATTCACCCCCACCAAACACTTACACATGAAATAACTCCTCTCACTCACATGTTTAAGCCCACACGCATTAAATCTCCCACTCATTTACACATAAAGAATTTTCTGTACCCATGACAGTTTGTCAGCGGATTTTAAAGCCTAATGTAACCCAAATCAACCTAAGCTAACACAGCCAAACATAACAATGTACAAGGTTTTTACAATTAGAAATTGTGCTTTGTCAGAATGCTCATCTGCGATTGTTTTATTCTCAATTCAAGTTGGAAAGTGGTAAGAACAGGGCACAAAATGAGCATGGTCTAGAAACTGTCATACTGCTGTAGTTTAAAACCAGTAGCATTGGAAATAAGCAGGAGAATCTTAGATTCTGGAAGGATATGGAAAATACTAGTTTGGTAACAGGGTGATAGACAAGTGGAATAGGTTTGTGGTCAGCATCAAGAGGCACGTGATACAGTATAAGCCTTGCTAGTTAAAAAAATAGAATGCATTGAAGAGTGGGTTTGGAGGTAGATACTGCCCAGAATAGGGCAACAGACCCACTGTCATGATTCTGGTAATTCCCTTTGTTGGTGACAGGAAGCCCATACCCAGGCCAAAAATTGACCTTCCCCTGGTTACAACCCACAACAGCTATATAACTCGGTTATTTATTGCTAGGTGAATAGAAGCATCAAGGAAAAGAAGACATGCACAACTGTTTGTCTTGCCTGATTGAACCTAGGTTCCTCAGTTGTGAGCCAAGGCCATTGGCTTAGCTCTGAAATATCCATTATCCTTAGGTTATTTGCTAATTATTCAGATAATTATTTAATTAACCCTAAAAAGAGCTATGCATTTCCAATACAGTATTGTCTTCCAGAAAGCATTGATAAATAAATTGGATATAAGCATTGAAGCTCAAAGCTATTCAGTCAGGCCCAATGTGGTACTGTACTATACTATTTGGGTATAGGATAAAAATATATAGCTCCAGTCCTATTGTGCTGCTTGTACAATTTGGTATAAATTTTCCAATCCCAATAGTGCAGCACCTCGTCAACCAACATTCAAATATTGTAGTGCAGTGGCTCATTGGCCTGCATCCAACATTGCCACTTAGGTTAGATAAGGGGTTCATTAGTCAGCTGATTTTGTTTAATTACTACTTAATACGCAGCAATTTCTCTGATATGGTTTACTTGCCAGTGATGCATAGAAAAAAGTACAGTATTGTATTCTTTTGTATGATGAAATGGATTCTTTGAGACTTATTGCTACATTTGCACACAAACATGAGAAATGATCTGAAATATTGCTGTGGATTTACAAAAGAGCTGCTAAAAGATAGAAGTCCTTGGAGTAACTGGAGTAAATATTAGGGAGATCCCAGACGACACAGTACAGTATTAGCATTAGCGCCAATAATGTTCATTCCTCCGCGTATGACTTGAATACAGTAGTTCTTCACATACAGTATTGCATTGCTCCCAGTTGTTCAAATATTTTGCTAATTCTAAGCAGTCTCCTTAAAAATGTCATCAAACAGAAACTACCACCAAAGATGTACCAGGTTTTGTAATACAGTATCATCACTCAATGCTCACTGGTTTCCAAGAAATCAAACACTGGTGTGGCTGAAGCCTGGAGCCACATTGGTGGCCAGATGTGCCACTAGCCGAAATATTATTTAAAAATATATTGTCATAATAGTACTGAAAAGAAGGTTGGTGTCATATATACCACAATATACTTGGTTATACAGGTGACGTTTATATAACTATTTGGGTGGTTAGGCCCCCCACCAGCTGTTAGGCCCCTCGCCTGGTAAGTGGCATATACAGTATCTGCCCACCTACATATTACAGTTAATATTAATATGATATTTTTTGTATTATATTTCAATAGGTAATAAGCATTTCATCTTTTTTTTATTGATATATACAAGAGTTATTACATTATTGTATAGCCACTAGTCCGCGTAGCATTTTGGGCAAGAAACGAATCTAGAAAAAGAAACAATCTAGAAACATATATTGTGTGATTTTATATATAAATGTCTATACTTACCATTGACATTTCCATAAACGTGATGTTATTTTTTTAAATCGAGTTTGATTACCATTAATCTTAGGAATAACTTGTAATGGCTGTACAGATACTGTACTTTCATATTTACTTTACCTTGTTCCACTTTCTCGTCAATGTTAAAGAATTTTCACCTTTTCCTTGCCAAGTTCAGACTGTAAATAATATCTCAGATTGTGTATTTTCTAACTTTTTCAATAGTTTGTTCTATCCATGTCCACAAATGAGTACTGTACATTTCAGGTATTCTCTATGGTAATCTTTTTGATGCATGAATAATCCAACCCAGCCCCTCAATTTGCCACTCTGTAAAAAATGCAGCTGTTTGCCTAACCAGAAATTTACAAATTCAAGGAACTCACCTAACCAATCAAGGCCAATGCATCGTTATTTTCAATATTACAATGCATTATTTTTACCAATACTATGTAGTACATGTCATTTTGAACAGAATGGATAATTGCATAAAATGTGACATACAGTATTAGGGAAGAGGATGGGTCAATGGCAAAAAAATTTCAAATGCCATGTCTGTAAAATTGTAAAAAGTATTTGAATACTGTAATAGTATATTTAGCACTGAAAACACAAGAATGTCAACAAAGGGTAAAATATACGATATGCTGAAAATTTCCATACAGTTACTATTCGGATTTCACCACAAACATTAACACGTCAAGATCTAAATACAGTACATGTTAATAACACGTCAAGATCTAAATACAGTACATGTTAATATGATTTTGCGGTTGTATGGGTGATCTAACTGCAAAATCTGTCCATTATTTGGAGAACTTTCTTGGCAACCAGTCCTCCTGAATAATACTGTACATCATATTTTGCTTACCCACCAAAGCTGTAAAGGCCAAGACAATACTATACAGTAGTTCTAAATCCAGTTGGAAAACCGTCTCAAGAAAAATTGGGGGAAGTTCTTTGACAAGCTGCCATCTTCCTGATCCCATCGTGGCCATGGTTACCCTCTAGCATATTCCGGTAAATTCAGAGGTTCTCACTACTATACAGCAGTTCTTACAAGTAGTGTTTTAACACATGCTCTTTGAAAGTACTGTATATTATAAACTTTAACAAATTTGTCTCCAAGTCAACAGGTAAATTGTCTTTGAAGTTTGGTACATTGAAACCTGCCTTGTTAATGAAGGATTTTACAAAGAGCAGCATGCTGTGTTATCTTGTGCTCTTCTTCAAATAGCATGTTTAAGGTTTCTAAATTATATTAAAGTTGTCCACATTGGATCAGCTGATGTTTTGAAGGAAGCAACCATCATGGGTGAGGTCTACTGCATTATAGGCAAGACAACAATGTCTTTCTAGGTGATTAACAATGCACAAACAACAGGGCTCCATCAAAGAACATGTCTCCTCACACAACCAGACCATCACCAGAGAAATCTTAACAAGCAACACAGAAGTCATCGATAGATACAACGATAGCAGGAGTCTCGACATCAGCGAGGCCCTACACATCAAAAAGTCAACACCAGCAATCAACAGCCAATTAACACATAACTATATTCTATCCCCTTCAAGACCCCGAACCAACATAGAAGCAAGAAGAGAGAATACGCAATAATTTGTGTTCTGACTATGTAAAGTTATCCTTACTCCATTATTACCCATTGGTTCGTGTTTTATCACCTCACCGAAAAACAAATGTAAGCATGAAATTGAGTACATAAAAATCTGTCTTTGAAAATGTGAGAAGGCTCTTATGAAACACTTCAAGGCATCAGACCATAAATAAAAATGCAAAAATGAACTTTATAGAGTTAATTTTTCAATTACCCCCGATAGTGAAGAACAACGTAAGAAATATTGAGAAGATTCGTGTTAGAATCATTAATCTTACCCTTTCGTTCATATTCAACAAATGTTTATAAGATACCATAGATATCATAGATTTTAAGATATTATACCTGAATATATATTGTACCTAATAGGCCAAGTTGCCTAACAAGCCG